AAAAATCCTAGGAACAGAAAAGAGATGGTTTGAAAGGGGAGTAAAGGAAGCGATTTTTGTTAAAAAATTTTCACCCTCTCTGAACCGCGAAGGAGGTATCAGATTTAACCTGTCTCCTATTTACAATAACTTGTTGACCACCAAGGGACATAGACATGCTGATCAGGCTAACTGAAAGTAGCTATTCAGCCCTAGCCCAAACAATAGGCCTAATCAAGACCCAACCATAGGGAATTTAGAAATCAATGGGCCTCTTCACCATAAGGGCGTGACTAACCATCCCCAGTCAGTCCTCAAATAGGCTACGCTCAGCTTTTTAGCGCAGAGCAATTTCCCGGAGTCTTCACGGAGACTTCAGAGTTGTCTACCGCTGACGAAGCTTCTGTGAGAGAAGCGAAACGTCCTTTTTTGTTTTTTGTTTTTTTGTTTTTGTTTTTTACCCACATGTACAGATGACGACTGACAGAACCCCTTCTACGATGGAACTTTCCTGTACGACTGAGAGCCTCCACAAGCATTTGTATTATTATCATACATAGAGGCATTCAAGGAGAGATACACTTGTTGAAACCCTCTCAAAACACTAGTGAACCATTTTCACACTGCACTGCACAAAATCCTTCTCGCACAATAAAATGCTCCCTTGTGCACATCCTTAATGCTCTAGCACACTACTGAGATGCCCACACACATATAACACTCACACAATCCTGAACTATTCACACATCTGAAATGCTGTCATCACACAATACTGAAACATGTTCTCTCTCACTCACACAAACCTATGATAGACACATATAGTCTCTGACAGGCTCTCACACAACGGAAACACACACACACTACCTGTACTGAGCCGCGCTCACAGTCTTTACTTCCTCACACACACGCGCACACAGTGACACCCATTGAAAGGCTTTCACACAACGGAAACACACACGAATGAAATTGTCACACAAGTGAAATACTCTCACATATTCCTAAAACACCCACTCACTAAAATGCTCTCACACAAATTCCTGAAACGCTTTCTCACACAAGAAAACTTGAAACACACACAACTGAAAGGCTTTCATAAAACTGACGCACACACTGGTGAACCTCTCATTGTACTGAATCCCTCTCTCTCTCTCTCTCTCTCTCTCTCTCTCTCTCTCTCTCTCTCACACACACACACACACACACATTATAACATCCATTCCTAAAATTCTCTTATACAATACTAATACACTTTGATTCATAAATACTACTGAAAGACACATGCAACAGAAACACTTTGACACAACTGAAGCACTCTTACACACAAAACTGAAACTCACTTACACAAGTAAAACATTCTCACACGTTCCTGAAACACTCGAAACACACGCGCGCACACACACACACATGTGCGAACAACACAAACTAACGTTACCACACTGCAGGGATGCTCTCGCACATGAGAGAAACACCAACACTCATTCCAAATACACTTTCGGACACTAATAAAAACCTTCTCATGGTCCCTACTGAAATACTCTCATTGCCACTGAAAACCTGAAAAAATGCTTTCACACAGCACTGAAACACATTTTTCAGTATGAGGTGTATTGATTGCTCCTTTATCTGAAAGCATTTCAGTGTATTTGGAATGTATTTTAGTGGTACGTATGGATTGTCCATGTGAGAGCGCTGAGGTATGTCTCCCAGCCAGCTCATCATGTCTCTCCTCTGTCGACTCGTCCACCTGCTGTCTCTTTAAGAGGCATCGACGTCGCAGTGGGCGCACTCGATGTGGGCCCTTCACAGCTGCAGGATGCGCTTGGATCCGCATCGACTGCTGCGTCTTCTCGCCCCGCTGCCAGCGACGAGCCAGCCGCAGCCTCGGTGTCGTCGTTGTCCATGTGAGCCGCACGCTCGGGTCCGAGGCTTCTGACAAGGTGAGACCTGCTCGCGACACGCGCCGCAAACCGCTTTGTAGGACACCTCTGCAGGACTTATTAGTCAGGCTTTTCGCCTCTCTCGCTTTGGTGTTACGTCCCTGCTGGTGTTTCACGAGTTCATCGCATTCTATTCCAGGATGTTCACCCTAATCGCCGGTTTCGGCGCACTGCTCGCCTCCGCATCCACTAGCACGCGCACGCTTACGTAACACGCTTACGTATGTGTATCTCGCCATTAACGACGCCGTGACCACCTGTTGGTAGCTGCTGTTGCTGCTGCTGCTGCTCAGGCTCAAGAGGCGAGGTGAGATGAATGGAGTCGTGCGTGTGTGCGTTCTAGATCAGCGATTCCCAACTTCTTTTGGGCCACGTCCATTTGACATGAGAAAAATCTAACGGCACTCCACCGAACAAAAATGTCACAAAAAGTATGAATATCGCAGTACAGATGGTGTCGTCTAAATTTACTCTCGAAATGACCTGTGAAATTAACTGAACACAAATCCATGACTCATTCTGTTTTATGAATGGAAACACTTTTATTGTATCTTTTGCCACCGGTAGAAAGGCAAGGCAAAGCAGCTTTATATAGCACAATTCAAACACAAGGCAACTTAATGTTTTTTTTAAACAAGCAAAAAAACACCTAACACATTTCAAAACACACAACAGGTAACGACATTTAAAAGCAAAGAGAAAATAACACAATGACGACATAAAACGCACAGAATTTTTTGTGCCAAGTCGTAAGATTTATTCATTTCAATTGCATACATAATTTCAATGCATTTGAATTACTTGAAATAGTCTATGTCAGAGGTGTCAAAGTCAAATGGACGGAGGGCCAGATAAAAAATTTTGCTGCAAGCCGAGGGCCGGACTGATCGAATGTTCATTGAAAATTTTAAAAATGACCACACATTGTTTATTGAACCAAATTTAATTGACTGAAAACCTAACAAATACATTCCAATATGGTCAGATAAATAAAGCAACATTTTTTATGGCTATGTGAGTAAACTTTAATTTTCAACAGGCACAAAAAAAATTTCCTTTGTATAAAAATATCCATAACATGAATAAAAGAAGCCGATATTCAAGGCACTATCAATAGTCCATGTTTTCTCTTTTAGCAAAAGTAGGCTAAATTTACTTAAAAGAAAAACAAATAATAGTACAGTAATTTTCGATCATTTACTCGAATAAAATATTTTTAAAACATAATTGGATTGAAATACAATAAAATAAAGTGCAAAAATGTATAAACCAAAAACAACACTTTCTTCAAGAAGTAACAAGCAGCGAAAGCAAATATTATACTTTAATTTTTAAACTTGAACTGACTAAAAACTCTTAATATGTGATTGCACAGTATATTA